TAACTTACATGAACCATACACTCTCCTATTACCGGAACATTGTCACCAGTGTATGTTGTTAGACACTTGTGACACGGCTGTAGAGACACTGATCCTCCTGTGACAGCGTCAAAATCTTTCTTTGTTATGACTGTTAGAGATGCTCCAGTGTCAAGTTGGAAGCTGATGCTCTTACCGTTGATATTAACCTGTACATCGATGGGAGCATGACTTATTGATTTCACAGAGAACAGGCTGAAATCCGGCTGCGAATCAGTTTGAGAATTTTCACAGGTAGAGTGGTTCATTGGTTGGGTTAGGTAGTCTTGGTGAGAGTTAACATAGTGCTGCCTTTGGTTGCGGTACTGTCTTGACTGGCTAGATTTAGCAACAGACGAAGACTTTGCAAAGCAGGCCTTGGCAATGTGACCTTGCTTACTGCACTTATAACAAGTTGCAGACTTGAACTTGCACCGATGAGATGCATGGGGACCTTTGCATCGATGACATTTTTGATAATTATTACTAGATTTAGATCTAGGATTTGAACGAGCAGGCTGTTTAGCATAAGTTGGAATGCTCTGATGGGGTTGATGTTTATTGACTAACCTGCTGTTTACTGCATGGATCTCTGAAGGTGCTAAAGATCTCGCCGCATCAGATGACTGCTGGAATGACATTGCAAGTTGTATTGCTTTTTCCAATTTTAGATCTGACTCGAGCAGCAACTTTCTTTGAATATCAGGGCTGTTTACACCTGTCACAAACTTTTCACATAGTCTGTCAGACAGCGTGTCTCCGAATTCACAGAATCTACTTAGATGACGTAAAGCAGCAACATATTCTGATATTGACTCGTTTGGTTGACAAGTCCTACCGTCAAATCTAGCTCGACATAGAAACTTTGATGGGGTAGGCGCATGGTGGTCTGTTAGCAATTTGCTCAGCTCGTTAAAGCTCTTGGTAGTTAGACTAGCTGGTGCGCATAAGTCCTTTAGTAGCCTAAATTGTTGAGGCCCTATGACTGTTAACAAAATAGCTCTCTTTTTGGCTTCTATCGTCACGTCGTTAGCTTCTAGGTAAAAGCTTAACCTATCTAGGTAATCCTGAATGATTTCATCATTCGAATCAAATTGTTTTATTTGGCCATACAGCGCCATTATTCTAGAAATACTTAGCTAATAAGCTCTAGCAAACCTCTTTTTTGCGTAAGTAGGTGCTCTTTCTAGTAGATTATTTATCCTTCGTCGCCAATGTGTTAGATTGTAATCACTGACGAGGAGCCACATTGGTTGTTAACAGTCTTTATTTACAGCCATGATGGAAAGAGGAAGGAAGTACAATGCACAAGGGACATCACTCAAGATAACAATATAAATATAATACTAATACAGAAGAGTGAGTTCCCTTGACCTCACAATTATCTCAATCTATTACAAGTTCTTTACCACTAGACTGCGCCATCCCATAATAATTTACTGAAACTTTAGATATAAACTTGACAATGGTTTTTAGTCATGTAACTATTGTAAATAAAACATGTGAAGTACTGAATTTTTAAAAATAAAAAACGCTTTAATAACAAGCTTTTATCTAATAATGCACTAAAAAGTAGAAATAAATTATACACTACTATTTAAATAACTATAAAGAAAAGCGTGGGTCACTTTAGTATCTATTGGATTTTTATGAATCAACATCAAATCACAAACAAATAGAGTTTTGATAATGTTTAATTTACTACAGTAAAGATCTGTTGCTTAAAATCGAGCACAGAAGTGTAAATGTATGATATGTATGATGTTTACAGGATAACGGCATTTTGTTTTGATAACCTACAAGCATACTGCAGGTAGGAATGTACAGCGTGGACCCCTCTCCCCCACACACTGAGTTGGAACAGCGTATAACCAACTAATTTATTGAAGTCATTGATACTATTTCTTATAATAGATAAACCATTATAAAAATAAGGCCTGCCGAACAAGAAATGCATATGTTGTATTGGATAATCTAACTCTAAAGAATATTGATGAAGGGGTCCCACTGGCAGGTGTCATATTCAATGAGACTGTTTTGCCGGGAGACTTAGTCTCTACAGAAACCGTATTGTCAGTGGTCCTTTAGTCGGTAGCCAAATTGACAGGAGCCTATTTGTCGTGAGCCAAAATGACGGGAGCTTATTTGTCGGGAGTCATAATGACGGAGGTCGCTTTGTGGAGAAACTAAATGGCGGGAGCCTATTTGCCGGGAATCGTAATGACGGGAGCCTATATGTCGGGAGCCTAAATGACGGTGGTCTATTTGTCGGGAGCCTTATTGACTGGAGCCCTTTTGTCGGGAGCCTATATTACTTACTTAATCCTCATCACTCCCTGTGGAGTATAGGGCAACAACAAATCTCCACCATTCAACTCTGTCTTGGGCGAGCCACTTTAGTTCATGCCAGGTCTTGCCAGTAGCCTGCACTTCTTCTTCCATCTCTCTCCTCCATGTTCCCAGTGGTCTTCCTCTCTTTCTCTTCCAGGCGGAGTCCACTTTAGCGCCATGTTGGGGAGTCTTCTTTTGCTCATGCGTAGGACATGGCCCAGCCATCTCCTATATAACGGGAGCCTATTTGTCAGGAGCCTATATGACGGGGTCCATATGTCGCTGACCTTTTGACGGGGTCTATATGATGGGGCTCTTATGCCGGGGCTGATTTGTCGGCGTCGTTTTGAAAGGGCCGTTTCGTCATTGGACGTTTTGACGCCGCACGATTTTGTCGTTTAGCACTCATTACGTCTCTTGATAAATTAGGAAAACACAATTACTTCCCTTTTTAAAAACACATTACATTGGGGGGGGGGGGGGTTATTTTTTATTACTTTGATTTGGTGTTGGGAAAAATTAATTACATAATCAGTGTGGATTGATCAAGTGAAATGTGGTAAGTAAAACACAGATTCTTTAAATACTACCTTTTATTTATTTTATACAGTGAACGTTATGTTTGCTAATTATTTTAAAAAATCAATAACAGTTTAGAAGCCAGCTCATAAATTATGCCCTCTTTGTTTACTTCGATCTTTGCGTTTGCAGATAAGCTTGGGGTATTATAGTCGTTCACAAAATCGAATCAGGCGCGTCCGCCGGCGCCCCGGAAGGGTTAAATTTGGCGCCTTGGGCTATCCTGTGAGCGCTATGGACTATGGTGCATAACTTCGTTTTGAACCGAGCGATAGACTATGGATATGAAAGGTTACTATAGTCCTTAACTGAATCAAACCCAGGCATCATCCGGCGCCACAGCAGGGTGTTATTTGGCGCCCCGAGCCTTCCCGTGTTAGCTATGGCGCCTACGTTCGTTTAAGTGAGTGCAAAAGACTATATATAAGTTGGGGTAGTCTTTACTAAGTTGAATAATGCGGTTCCGCCGCGCGCCGGCACCCCAGCATGATGCGATTTGGTGCCACGGGCTAGACTGTGTTTGGGTTTGCGTTTGGATTTGTTTTTGTTTTCGTTTGCCTTTTTGTTTGCGTTTGCGTGGTAGGGATATGCTTAGAGAGGAAGAGAGGGGGCTGCGCGGCGCGCTTACAGCTTGGTGTTTTCTAGGGTATCATTGAAGAGAATTATATATATACAGATTGTACGATTGTGTATAAAACGTAAAACAGTTAGTGACGTTAAAACCCACTCTACCAATTTCTTTCAAGAGGGGGGGGGGGGGGGATGGAGGAAGGGCTTTTTCGCCAACAAAAATTGCAAGAATTTACACTTGGTTGGTGAGGAGATACATATTCTAGCACTTAGATAAGAAACTATATGCATTAAAGCGTATTGTGCAACAGTAACACAAGAAAAATATAGTAGTGGTGGGGGGGGGGGGGGCGCTTTTTTGCCAAGGTAATTGGGAAAGATTTACACCGGATCGGTGAGTAGATAAATCGTCTAACACTTTGAATAGAAACCAATTTTATTAATGTATAATGTACTATTTCACTAGCCCCTTTTGTTTAGAAACGACGTGACTGATTCTTTGTACGATTCTTAAAATATTATCTCAACTTCAACGTGAGAGTCCAGACAAATACTTTTACTTGATAACATTACAACTTGCTTGGATGAACTTAAATAAATATAGCTTTCTGATCAGTAATATTGAATATATATATATATATATATATATATATATATATATATATATATATATATATATATATATATATATATATATATATATATATATATATATTGTAATGGATTGACGATAGAAGCATGTGGTTGTATATAAAACGTTTATTGGCCTTCAACTACATGATGATAACGAGAGAGGACGGAAGTGACGAGAGACAAAGATATATATACATGTAAGGGACATCACTCAAGATAACAGTATAAATATAATACTAATACAAGAAGAGTGAGTTCCCTTGACTTCACAAGTCTCACTATATTACATATATATATATATATATATATATATATATATATATATATATAAATATATATATATATATATATATATATATATATATATATATATATATATATATATATATATATACTATTATATAGGTCATAGGCCTATATTTGTGTGTATGTGTGTACATATGTGTGTAAGTTTCCCTTTCAAACCTGACGGTCTATGGGGCAAGTGAAGTAGAGTTCACTTGATTCTTTGACCTCGGCATATGAAGAGATAGTGTGCCGCCTTTACTTTCCCTAACGTGAGTTAGGTACCCATCAGAGTTGGATGGACTCAGGGACGGTTTACTGACTTGAAACCGGATTCCAACTCGAGACTTACGGGTTAGCAGTCCAGCTCTCTAACGCTAGACCACTCCGTCCCACATATATGTGTGTGTCTATATACAAATGTAATATAAAATTAGCTAGCGGGTAGAAAATGATATTTTAAAATTTAACTTAGGTGATGTAATTTAAGCTCAACTTCACAAAATATTCATCTTCTACTGAGCGTATATATAATATAGATCTAGCTAGATCTATTTTCAAACTTTACCTCATCTCGGTAATTAGATCCTGTTTATGTTTTAATATTGCCATCCCCGACACGAGTTTTAAATGGACGAAGATTACTCTTCTAATATTTCATTGAATCTGTCAACCGACTTTTTTTCTTCTGTCCTCACCAAAAAGAAAAAAGGTTTTAGAGCAGAGGTACTGTGTCGTGTAGTGTAATTACTAGAGTAGGATTACGACGCAGGCCCTACGACGACCAACGTGGATTAATTTAAAAAATTAATTTTGATTAGGCCCTAAATTTTGGTAATTAAATCTATCGTTTTAGGTACGTAAAATCACCCGCGACTAGTAATGTGAAAAACAGGTGACTCCTTAAATTTTAATAATTATTTCACATTTTAGGAGGATTTATGTTTTGAAAAATACAAAAATGTTTCATTTATGGGTAATCTATCGCTTTAGCGTAATCAATTCGGCCGTCACTAGTAATGTAGGGATAAGGTAACTAATAAATATGGCTTAGGGCCTAAATATGGATATATTTTTGCATATTTTACTAAAATACTAAAGATAATTGAATATTAAACCACATTTAAGGTTTAAATCAATAAAAATGTCAGGAAATTAAAGTTTAACAACGATGTTACAGATACTAAATTTGCTATTAAAAACAGCGGCCATCTTAAGAAAATATTATTTTGAGTCATTTCCCTTTCATTTCTATTTGTATGGAAATGTATTTATGTTTGCTATTAAATACGTTTGTCTTGTGTTTAAATACAAAGCATGCGGTTTTTTTTAAAATTCTGCCCTTTAAACAATTTAATTGACTGACTGAAAATAAACATCAGTTCTAGAATTATTATTATGAGATGCAATTTTTATACATTAAGATACTCCCTATTTTTATAGAGCTACCACTACATATCTAATGTTTACTTAAATATTAGTTTGAGTTCATTCTTATTGTTTGTGTTATTGTTAATTTCTTATTTTCATGCTTTTTTCCTTTAATTAGTGATTTAATCATTAATGACGTCCCGTTTTTTGACCTCTCTTTACCTTAACCCTCCCCCCCCCCCCATTTTCGCCGTCACGAAATAGTCGTAATGTCGAAAATTACCTTTTTGCCCTGTCTATTAAAAAGTCAAGCCATAATTCTAATGAAAAATATTTTTAGCATTTTTGTATTAGGCGAAGACATAACGTTTCACGTTTCTTACCCCTCCCACTTCCCGCGTAAAACGTCGTCTCAAAACCAGTTACTCCACCCCTTAAGTGTGCGATGTCATTTATGGTAGATGTCAAGTCCTATATACATTTTGAATAACCTTTGTTGTCAAAATGTTGATACCAAATACCCAAAATGAGTTATATGGGGTTGTCCATAAACGATGTCACATATGCTATGCTAATGTGACGTCAACTTACGCAGAGTGGTCGGGGGGGGGGGGATGCGTGACGTCTATTTTGGAATCTTCTATAAAGCTGTGCTCAATGAAAATGAGGAACATAAAGCGTTCGTTTTCATGCATACATTTGTTCATAACTATTGCATGCCTGTTGTCCTAAGCGGTGTTAAACAACCTCAGCACATCATCCCTGCCAAAAAGGGCCCGCCACTAAATGCCTACCGACGAAAATAGGCCGCACTATATTGACTCCAAATGAAATAACTTCTGACAATAAGGCTCAAACCAAGTAGCTCCTGTCAACAATATTCGACAAGATTCCAAGACAATTATTGACTAGCAGGTAAAATGGGACAAATCGAAAATTGAAAGTTTGTCGCCTCTGGGGGGTGACACCATTAAGTGCCGCACCGGGTGACACTCGACCTCGCTACCACTCGACCTCGCCACGCCACTGAGCTAATGTAAAGCCACAGCTCAGTATAGGCTTGAATTTAACATAAAATATTGTTAGCAGTGGACAGCCTCTAAGACTGTGCATTAGGAATACGGCCGTCGGCAAAACGCCCGAGTCCGACGATATCTGAAAATCAATTTTGTCTTTTATGAAGTGCGGAGCACCTTTAAGACCTGAGCTTGGCCCTGTTGACACCACCACTAGCGCCGCTTATGTCCACATATCAATCACAAGTTTTGCATGGAGCTTAATGGACAGACGTTTATAGGTGGGACCGGGAGCCTAAATGCATTTACCGAAGCCGCTGTGTCATGGGCATTTTAGAGCCGAACGTCTCAGGGCAGCAGGTTGCAGAAATTAAAAGCACGTGAATTTGTATAGTAGAGGGAGAACATCATGCCACTGTAATAAATTAAACACCAATATAATTCACCGAACTAAAGTTATTTAGATCTATTCGTCAGCCTAAACGTCGCTAAAGTCTCATCGCCATAGTGATTTAGTGCCTGTTTTGATTTTTTTTTTAATTACGCGGTATCTTTCTTAAACATTAGCCTAATGACAAATGACGTCACGCGCGCCGCGAACTTTGTGACGTTGTGCTTAGTGGGGGATGAAACGGCGTGGTTGAGAAAAATGACGTATTTCTTTTTTTTTAACAGACGAATAAGTGATAGATTCTAATTTTCCTACGAACTATACGTTGATCTAGTTTTTTTCTAGAGGGAGATATCACTATATTGTGGTGGGCGGTTTATATATAATCTCAATATATTCTGATCTACTACTATTCATACGGCAACTATTATACTCGTGAGGAGGACGGGAATCACTCTTATGTTCCGCAGACACTAATTAACAATGTCAACAACTTAGTTTATGAAATAACATGAACTTAATTATCACACACTTATAGATCCTTTTCACAATATCAAATAATACGTCCGTCTTCTACTATATCTAACCCCCAACTAACTTCACTGCTGCGTCTTACGTCATCGGTACATTGTCGCACCATGCTCACGTCACACTCACGCCACACATATTTTATTGAACACGCGCACAATACTCTCGCACCAAATCGTCTACCGTCAAGTTCGTACCGTCCTTAGTAACCTCTACTCGTCTAGTCTAATTCTATATATCTACGCTATGACACATATAGTGGGTGTTTTTTTTTTTGTAATAATGGAGGGGTAAACATTGACTACTGAAGAAATCAAAAACTGATGACAGCAGAAGGCAAAGAAAAAAACAACAACAAACCATGTGGTATTCAAATGTAACTAATTAAAATTTGAACCTATTTAAAAAAACCACAATAATCTTAATTCAGAAAAAGTGTAGGCCTAAGACTAATGTCTACAGACAAAATAAACAACTAGGCTTAATTAAATGGATCGCCCATAAATGACGTCATACTTTTCCCGACAATTTCCCTCTCACCCAATAGTTACTAAAAGCAAGATGATGATTTAATATCATATCGCAGTTCTACTATACCCGAACCCTTAATCACAATTTCTAACGAAACCGAATATATTCTTCATCATTTTTTTAAAAAATATTTTACACCCTCCCATATTTTGAGTCCAACGTCATTTATGAGGAATATGGACGACCTAATAATTGACAAGTTAAGGGGTCATCCATAAATGACGTCACGCTTTTTACCTCCCCTCCGTCACACGTCGTCACAAAAAGTCAGACCCCCCCTAAAATGACGTCACACATCAGCCTACAACCCCCCCCCCCCCTCAAAATTGCAGATGATTTTTTTTTAAAACATCGATATTTTTCCAAAATCTTGTCTGAAATATGTCAAAATATAGTATTTTAATCAATTCCTATTATAATTTATTAAAACTGTTTTCTAACAAGCTAAATAATGTCTAAAATTCGTTTTCTAACATTTCTTATCTATAAAGCAAAAGTGTGACGTCGCACCATCTGAACCCCCCCCCCCCTCCCCCTCATCACACATCGTCACAAAATTACCGACCCCCCCCCCCCCCTACGATTGTGACGTCATTTATGGACGACCCCTAATCAGTACAAAAGGGTTTAGTACATGTTGGACCTCTCAAAATTTTTTGAGATCTTGGATGTACATACATACATAGCCTTCATTTCACTTGAAAATGAAATTAAAGATAAGAAGACGGCCCTCTGTCTTACTTATATTAAACAAGACAGGTATGTATATTAAACAACAAAGTCAACACAATATACATACGAATAGACTTTTTTATCCAGGGAAACTACTCTTAATTTTATTTGGAAAGATGGCCGCTGTTTTTTTTTCTACTAATATTTATCTCAAACACCTAGTTTAAAGTTAGTTTCACGTTATTTAAATTGTTTTGGTCACTGTTTGTTATTTTAAATCAATTATCTGTGATATTTTGTAAAATTTGACTTAAATAAACTTATTTAAACAAATATATTCATCAGCTACCTCTCCCGCACATTACTACTGCAGCCGAATTGATTACGCTAAAACGATAGATTACCCATTTATGTATCTGTTTTTAAACAATTGAATTAAAACTTTTCAGTAATAAAAGAAGACTAGCGATGTTTCCAACAGATGCAACCATGCTCATTTACTAAAGCCGACATCTTGTTTAAGTTTGTTTCAATGTAAACTTATAGCAGATTCAGGGGAAGCCACTCTATTTTACAAATGGCTCCTATTTATATAGCAAATCCTGCTTGCAAACACTGCTGTTTAAAGTTAAAGTTAATTTCTGGCCTATATTGATATGTTTAGCCATTGATTTAGGTTTTTATTCATTTATCTATAATATTTGACACAAATCACAGTATACTTCAATTTTAAAGCCTTGACAATGAGGTAACTTTTTCGTACATTACGCGATTTTACGTACCTAAAACATTAGATTACCTAAATTTTAGTTTAGCGGTTAGCGGTAATCTATCGTTGTAGGATTTTAGGTACGTAAAATCACCCGCAACTGTATGCTAGTCTTCATTTATTACTGAAAAGTTTTAATTCAATTGTTTAAGGGGGCGCATCGATGAACTAAGCTTGAAAAATCATGGTCGACCTCGGAAAATTCATTTTTAAAAAAAAAAATTTTTCTATTACTTTAACCACTTATAAACATAATATACTTATCAAATTTACAATAAAATATAGTTTTTACACTTGTTTTTGCATTTGAAGTGGGTGTGTGTGTGTAAAAAAATGTATTTCACCTCGATATACGCCCATCACAACGATGTGTAGCGAGATCTACACACTGCAGTAAGCCTAGCTTACCATATATCAAAATGCGCGGAATTTCGAGGTCAGTTTAGTT